ACACACACACACACGCAACAAAGCCCGACAAACTGACACAGTACAGCTTCCAGACTTTCGGCTAAGCTCTCGAGCACGCGCTCACGCAAGAAGACATGAGCCTACAAGGACGCTTAGCCCCGCCTTACCGCTGAGCCCCGAGCGTCAATTCTTTTCCACAAAAACAAGAAACACAACCCCATGCGCTCCCACAGCACCAGCGCAACACGCCTCCTTGGATGACCGGATCCACGAACTAGCCAAAGCAGCAGCAAATACCCTCATCCCAAACGATCGCCCGATACCCAAAGCTGGAGACGCGAAAGCCCAAGACCGTCGAAATTAGACACAAACAACAACACTCCCAGCCACGACGCGCCTCTTGCTCAGCATCAAAACACGCCGCAACACCAATCACGACAACGCTCAACACACGACCACCCAGACACACGCCCACGCATTCGCTCGAAACGATCAAAAACTATCATCTCGATTCCAGTAAAAAGCCGCAGCCCGAACAAACGCAACATTCCAAAACCCTCACATAGCGCAGGGCCCATCGCAGAATCCAAGTCTCGTCGGGCCCGAGGAACGATCCAGACACCATGAACTCAGGCAGAAGCTCAGCCACATACTCGAAAAAACATCGAAATATCAATTAGCAACGTACCGCAAGCTGTCCAAGAAAAGACGACACTTGCCGTCGCAACACGTCAGATCACACCCGTAGCCCGCCCCGCCGATAAGGAGTTCAAAGTTAAAGGTTTGGAAGTGAAGAGCTTAAAGTTAACGGCTGAGGAGATGAAATTGTAGGGTTAGGGGCCAAAGACTCAATTTCTAGACTGGAGACGTTTAAAGTTCAGACTTAAAGAGTTAACAATTCACAGTCAAGGAGTTTAAAGTCAAAACTAACGGTCAGAAGTTTCCAGTTAGAGTTCGAGGTTGTTAGCTTAGAGTTTAGGGGTAAAGATTTGAGAGTTTAAACATGAAGCGTTTCACACACACACACACACGCACACGCGCAGAGAGAAACACACACACACACACACCCACAAACGCACATACACACACACATCCACAGAGACGCGCACACACGCACACAAAACACACAAACCGGCATCAACAGTTCCTCCGCTCAACAATGCCAGAAAAGACTAACACCCTTCCCCGCACACCATCCGATTCCTGCGACAAAGATCAAGCATGGAGCAACAAACCACGGATGCAGGAAACAAATGCAAAGCCCCCCTAGCCGCCAGGGAAGATACACTCCAAAAAATCCATGCCATGCAGACATCACAAACCCTCCACGATTCAGACATCCTCGGAATCATTCTAGAGTTCAGTGCCCTGGAATGGTGTGTCTGGATAAAGCTACCCAAACCACAACAAACCTCCTCATGGAGCAGCACCCGATCAGTGGACACCAGCCACCCCTACAAAAGCAGCAGAAACAAGTCCACGTGCGCACATTTCTTCCAAGCGATACTCGAAGACGAAGCCAACCACCAAGACGCAGAAAGTCTCACAGCCGCCATCGGTCATTACTTACAAGAACGCCACTTCATAGCAGCCTGGGAAGATCCATCCAGCACCCCCCGTCAGAACACAGACCATGCAACCGAATCGCAAAAGGTCCGCGGCATCTTCCTTCACTTCGCGAGCTGTCTACGGAACTTCGCCAGTCTGAGCCAAACCAACCGAGCCATGCACGCGGCAGTAACACAAACAAACCTCCCCCGACACATGTCTAGACGTCCCACGAAGATGTTAGAGACCACGCATAGCACAGGCTCCGACTTCGAACCGTGGAACCCTACCGTCATCCGGTACACATGGACCCATCGCCTTCCATCCGAGCAATCGCCCTTCTACTCAATGCCGCTTGCAAACCACATTCAGATTCTGAATCCAGAAACAGACGAGCCTCGACTTGAAGATGCTCCGCTCACAACGTGGCTGCAGGCATTCGTACATATTAATCCGCGACACCGATGCCACCTCTAGCAAAGCTCACCCCAACAACTCCCATGCCGCCCCAACAATCAGAACCAAAGCCAGCAGCCGCGGAAGTCTCACAACGCACAAAACACGGCCGCAAAGTGCAACCAACCCATGCCGAAAACACCCAAAAATCAAGCACCGCGTGCATGCAGCCACGTCGCATCAGCAAGCCCGCAAAACAAGAGTTCCACCCCCCCCCCCGGGAACAAGCAAAACCTCGCACATGCCAAAACAATAAATCCGCGCAGCTAACGACTCACACAACCAAGCAACACGCAGCAACGTCTAGAGCTCGGCCAGCAACCAAAAAACAGACTGTCTCAAGAATTCGGCACAAAGCCAAACACAAACCATCACAGGCATCGACAGAATCCAAAACTCTCACACAAAAGCCTAACACACTCTCGAACTCGCCAAACAAGCTATAAATATATAAAAGTAAATATAAAGAAAAAAAAGTGCAACATCACAGCACACCAACGCAACCACTTCGATCATGACACGGCGCCTCACCGCCCCGAACGTCGAAATCAGCAAGAACTTCTCCGATCATGACGACGACCCAGAGAACAACGAAGTCCTCGTCAGCATCAGATCCTGGGGAAATGCAGCCTTCGTTTTTCCGGATCTCGCGGAACGGGCCGACTGGCGAAAGCCCGAAAACACCCTGTGGCAAGCCCGGATCTTCCACAGAGGCCGGCGCTCGCTCGGCTACATGATGCTTGACGCCGCAAGAGCAGCCCTACGCGTGCATCCAGATGCCAGCATGCAGACCCTCGAGCAATTGCAGCGGAACCATCACGTCAAGCTCCTCTCCGGTGGACCTCCATCAAGTGGCGACCCCGACCCGGACGGCATGGAATTCACCCCGTGGCAACCAGTAATCTACGCAGCCGGCGAATCTCCCATGCCCATCCTGGAGCTGCTGCAGTACCTGGTGAAACACCATTGCACGTGCGGCCATTGGAGGCACGCGCCCCCCTTGGCCATCCGCATCCAGGAATGGACCTGGGTAGCAAAGCCGCCAACGCCATGGACGCTCCGCTGCCACCCAAACATGAGCGACATCGCCTGTTTCCGTGCAGTCCCACCAACCACGAGACAACATACACTCTGCCAACTCAACCGCGCTACAAACCGAGCCGGGGCATACATCCTCACCATCTTCGGCAACCTTTACCCGTACAGGCGAATGCTGAACAACGAGAACATCCCGGCCGGAGAAGTTCCAGCATCAGGAAACGAAAAGAAAGCCACATACGTCAGGCAAATGCACTTCGACAACTTCGACACCAGTGCAAAGGAAAGAATACAAAGCCTTCTCGTCAATGCCCTGTGCAACCTGCCCATCTATTTCATCGACGCCACAGAGCAAGACTCCGACGAGTTTGTTTTCTGGATGACCCGCCAGAAAAGTGTCATCCTGGCTGAAACCCACATGTGACACAAAAAACAAAAAGGCACTTCACGAGGCAATACCCTCGCCAACCACCGACCGGTGCAGAAAGTAACACAAAGAAAAAAAAAAAAGACCGTCGCACGCATTACCACAATCACAGCAGACAGCCATAGCGACCAAAACCACAGAAACTAGAAAGTGCCGAATCCAAAACACGAAACTGCAGCACCACATTCCAACATACACACCATACTCGAAGAAACCCACTTGAAGCAACTCTTGTACAGCATGCACAAAGCTCGAGCGCGACCACCAAAACTGACGCAGACAAGTAAGCCATCATGTGACAAAGGCAAAGAGATAAACAATAAGGAAAACGATAAAAACCAGTGTAACAAACAAATAGACGTCGGAGAGAAAGAGAGAGAGAGAGAAAGACACACACCGACAAAGAAGATGTCAGATCAAAAAATATAAAGGCAAAAAAAAAGAAAGGATACACGAAAAAAGCAACAATGAAGTCAACAAGGTATAAAGCACAAAAAAAACAAAGAGCGAACGAGCTTCCAACTCACACCGACACGCGTCCAAAGTCATCAGAGCAAAAAAAAAGAAAGACAAAAAAAAACGTGCCTACCCAAACCCGCACAGCAATTTCCGGAAGGTCTCAACCGAGCAACATACCCACTCCTCGCCGCCGCCATGCCAAAACGACGCTTCCAGGCCCACGAAGTCGCGCTCCAAGAGCCAATCGCGAAACGAAACAACAACAACGCCGACCCAACGGCCGGGCGCTACCTCATAGCCACCGTCACCTATTGGGGCAGCGCGGCCTACTACTTCAACGACACGCCAACAACAACCAAGCTGTGGCAGGTACAGGTGGATCACGCCGGCTACAATAACTTTAGCTACAAAATTCTCGGAACCGTGAATGACACACTCCGAAACTATCCAGACTCCAACGTTACGGACCTAAAGAGCATGGAACAGCACCTCAAGATCCGAATCCTGAATGGTGCCCCTAGCCAACAAGGAGAAGACAACGATCCAGACGGCATGCAGTTCACGCCATGGCGAGCCGTGCTCTACTTGGGAAACGACGACCTCAACCCGATCTTGGATCTTATCCATCGCATCCTGAAGCACAAAATGGATCAAGCGCAAATTTTGGACATACCGGTGCTGCAAGTACAATCCAACTGTGTGCAGTGGAACCCCGCACAAGAAGACCTGCCACAGCCGTGGCAACTACTACGCACGGAACCAGAATGGATGCCGAACATTTTCAAAGTCTTGCCTCCCAGAGGACGAAGACACATCGTCTGCCAACTCGAAACCGCCGAAGACGATCACTACAACCTCATGTTTCTGGGCGGGCTCTACGTGTTTCGGGAACAGTTCGATGCGCAGCAGATCCCGTACGGATACCACAAAACGGTGGATCCAACCGAAAAGCGAATCTACGTCCGCCTTCTCAAAGTACAGGACAGCGAAGACGGCAAAAACAAAGTCCTCCGAGTAGTGAACAACGTCTTGCACCACATGCCAGTCTATTTCTACCACTACATCGAAGACAAGCAAGACCCCATGCTCACCTGGCTGCTATCCTTGGGCCCCTTCCGACTCAACCCCATCCCGTTGGACGACACCTAAGCGCACGCACAGAACATCACCTGCCCGTCTACACAATCGCCGCCACTGAGCAAAACCGCAACAGCTCGTTTTCTGGATGACACACAACAGAAGTTTCATCCTAGCCGAAACCCATAGTGTCACACAAAGGCAAAGAAGCACGTCTTGCTACATCAGCATCTCACCAACCACCATCCGATGAGAAAGCAGCACAAAAAAAAAAACATACGCAATGCCACGAAAAAAGCACACAGCCAAAACGAACAGTACCGCGCATACAGAAAATGCAAATACGAACCACGACAACAGCACTACATTCCAAGAACTGCAAACCAGCTACCCACCCATACTCGAAGAGACTCATATGAACAACAGTCAAATACAATACACGCAGATCTCGAGAAGAACAACACACACTGATGCAGAGCCGTAAGCCAAACGGTTCACCAACAACAAAACCAAAATTGTAAAAGAAAGGAATGAAAGAAACCAAGAGATATACAAAGATATAGACAAGAAGACACAGAAACATACAACATGCCAAACCAAGAGATTAACAAAAATAATAACATATATATATATATATAAGAAGCGCGATCACATTGCCAGGCAGGGCTTCTGCCAGAAGCCAGTGCGGCTCCAGCTCGGTTCACAGCAAGCAAACGAGCAGACACGATATCAACACGCCAGCAAAAATTAAAAAGCGCAAGAAGCCCACCAGCAGCCATGAAACGGAGAGCACCGAACTCCACCGAAATCCAACAAGACACCAGCGATACTTTAGTGGCGGTCTTAACCTTCTGGGGCAGGGCAGACACCTGGTTTCTCCACAGCGACCAGCACGAGACGCTCTGGCAAGTACATTTGCAACACACGCAGCCGAGCTACACGCACATCTCCATCCTTTCCGGCATAAGGAAGTTCCTGGCATCAGGACAACACGGCATGCAAGGAGTCAGGGACTTCCAGAGCCTAGAAGAACACGCCAAAATCACCGTGCTGAACCACGCACTCGGAGCCAACAGCGCAGAGCACACACATGCATCAGAGAACATACCAACAAAGCCCGTGTTCTACGTGCATCAGAAATCCCTCAACCAGTTCTTCCGATTCCTCCGCGACATGCTAGAGTACGAACACCAACGCAAGCAAATTAAGCAGGAGCTGCCACACATGCTGCTACACTGCAACAGTCCCAACAGCTACGCCAAGCTATCCGCACCGCCTGCGCCGTGGACGGTACTGCCGTACAACACACCCAACACCAGAGTGGAAGAAATATTCAAGCTACCACCACCCAGAGGAACCCGCCACACCAAATGCAACGTAACGAAATCGAATGGAAAGTACATGCTAACCTTCCGCGGAGGCCTCTTCGACCAACCGCAGATGTTTGAAAGACACAACACCGAAAAACGCCAATACGAAGCCGGCCTCCTCCTCTGCGTCAAAAACGACCAGAAAGGGCGCGGGGCCGTCATCAAAACACTCGCAACCATACTGCAGCACGCTCCCATCTGCCTACAACATCGGCTCAAGAATCACCGAGACGACTTCCTCAGCTGGCTCCTCACGCAGGAAACTCTGAGTCTGAAGCAAGATTACACGTAGCAGCCCTTATGAGCAAGGCTCACAACCCCGCCGATCCAAAGGAAGTGAAAAAGGAATACAGACGCCCAGAAGCAGCTACGGAAGCAGCAGCAGCATCAGCATGAAGAGACAAACCTGTACCACATACTTACCACATCCAGACCACCCCTTTACCAGACCAAAAACATGACAGCTGCATGCACCACCCGGCGCAAAACCCGCCGCGCAGCCTACTACCCAAATCAGCTCACAGAAAGAAGCAAACACCAGACACACACACACACACACAAAAAAAAAAAGCCCAAAGTGACAAACGCATATATATATAGTTTTATAAATAGCCATTCAGCAGCAACAATACTAAACCCTAAAAAACAAACAAAAACAATCGCAGCCACGCGGGCCATACCCCAACTCGTCGGCGCACGAAACAGAAGCAACAAACTAAAAAGAAAACACGAGATGACCCACACAAACGCTGAAGAAACACTGCCAGTCCGGTCGCTCCACACCCCCCAGTTGCAAGAGCTGAAGCAAGCCATCGATGCAGCCCTACCACCTCTCCAAAGAGACACCTGCATCGCGTGCACACACCAAAAAAACTCAAAGTACTACACCGATGCAGGTCGCATCATCTACCAGCGAATCGGACTATGCGAGTACTGCTACGACTCCCTAATCATGCAACGGCCGCCACACCACCACCTGGGTCAGCTCACACCGAAAGGAATCCAAGTACTACGCCTCCGCGAAACGCTCAACTGCAACCCCTTCCGCATCGACTTGTTCCCCCAACAAGCACACCTGAGCCACGAGATCCTTTCCAGTGGAATCCAACGCGAGATGCTGCTACAGCCGTGCACCGACAGCATCGTCCTCCCGGCCTTCCCAAGCCGGCACATCACCATCACACGAATATAGCTAGCACCCGTGCAAACCCCCAAAAAACAAACCAAACGGAGACCTCGCATCAGCACAAACAAAGAAAAATGAAAAACAATTGCAGCGACGACAACAGAGCAAACACGCAAAACACAAACCAAGACATTCATTCTCGCAACGGACACACATCCTCACCATATCAGATCAATGCCCCGGGCATCGCCGCGCAGCTCCGGCCCAAACGCCCCAGCATCATTTTGCGGTTTAACTAGCCAGACCGACAAGCATCAGCCAGCCCCGCCCCGATGAGCAGCAAGATACTACACGTCCGTATTTTCGAACAAGACGAGCTCGCGGCCCTCAAGGAGGCGATTCACAGAAACCTACAAGTCGCAGACAATGTATGCCAAGACACCTGCATCTGCTGCACTCGCTGCGGAGAAGAGGGGACGCATTACTCCCCCGAAGGTTTGACAGAGTACAGCCGCACCGGCATCTGCGAACGCTGTTGGGACGTGCTCGTCGACGAAAAACAAACCGAAGACAACCCGCGCTTCGACAAACTCACACCCAGAGGAGTGGCCGTCGTACGCCTGAACTTGATAGTGCAGCGTGTCATCTCACATCTTTCCATGCCCGTTCGACCGAGCAGCATCTGCGACCAAATCATCAACGACACCTTCGATTTCAGCGCGCTGTACACCAAAAACTTACAGCACCCAAATCCGAAGCAACACCAGTAACCCGGTGCAGCTACAATCGAACACTCCTGAGTGTACAGGACAGAGTGCAACTGTTCGGAGCAAAAAAGATGCCGCACTGCAACATATCCGTTGCCGTCCCAACCAACTCGTGTGGCCGATGCCACAAGCAAAAGCTCGGCGAAAGCAAAAGATAACATACCAGAAAGCGACAGCGTCACGAAAGGAGACAAAGAGACACAAAAAGAAAAGAACAAGAGAGAGACACAGAGACGGAGACAAAAAAGAAGCGACACGCAAAGGGGAAAAACAAAAATCGCCATAGCAACACGTCCATACATATAGCAGATGAAGACCAAACCTCGCATGGATTCCGATCACGTCGTCACATGCTCGAGCAAATCCACCATTCAAAACAAAACTGAAAAATCGCAAAAGACCACCACAGCCAAAAGTCATCGGACCACAACCAGAACAGCACCCAAACCAGAGCAGAGTCCCCCAATTCGTTAACATTTCAAAACCCGCCACATGTCGCAATGCCAGCACAACCAGCGAACGCATTGCTCGAACACCCACATGCACATCGATGCACATCGAAGCACAATGAGAAACACAACAGTCTAGCACTTACATAAGCGAAAGTTAAACGAGGAAACGAAAACACCACCCCACGAATGAGTTGCCGAGGCGCACTCCTAGCACCCCATGCCAACCAACACCCCCCCCCCCCCCCCCCACCCCGACCAGCATGCTTCTAAACACCCAGGAAGAAAGCGCTTCCACCACGTCCGGCACGTTCTCCTGCCAACAACTAAGCCATGCAGAGAAATCAGAGGAGGAGGACGGAGCCGACACACGCAGCTCGGCCCCTTCCAACCACGACGCCGAACCAGACTTGCCGGTGGCAGACAACAAAGGCCACCCAGACATCGGCGACAGCATCCTCACCCTCTACCCACAAGCGCTGCAAAACATTCTGGCCCAAGTGCAAGACACGGTCGTTGTCGGCACCAAAGTAAAACGGAAATGCACCTGGCTGGCCAGCCAAGGCTGCATCAAGGCCAGAGCCCTCATCGAGCAAGTCAGACGCATTGACCTCAAGGAGTTTCACGAACTGTACCAGCATCATCATCAGCTGGATCCACCGGATTCCAAAAACTTCTACGCCCTCACAATCACCAACGTCCGCCAAACAAACGTGGACTTCAACTACTACCAACTAACGGCGCCCTCTCTGTTCACACGATATCGCACTGCGCCAAGCGACCTCTGCCCAATAAGCAGAAGCTATCGCAAACGAAAAGAAGCTGAAAAATACGCACAACAACAACCCACACTGGCAATCCAAGACATTCCCAACCCAGAAGCCGTTTCTACCGTGGAAGACGACCACAACGAGACAAACGACCACGCGAGCTAATCACAAAGTCAAAAGAAAAAACCTCCGCGGGTCAAGCGTCAGTGCCAGACAACCACGACACCACCACAATCATCCAGCACTTCCGTTATACCCGCAAAGCATCGCAGAAGAAACCATAAACAACACACCCCCACCTGTACCCCCCCCCCCCCCCCCCTCTCCCCAACCCATAACCCTGCCCACAAACCCCATGCGAGCGGTTCAAACAAACAAGCACATGAGCGGCAATCCAAGCCGCAGTCCCAGGAACGTCCGGCTGCGACCCTGCCTAGCCAAAAGCCATGCAGAACACCAGCACAGACACTTCACGCAAGAACCCCGTAACGGAGCTCCAAGACAATGTCGTACCAGTGAACGGAGCTCGCATAATGATACTCACAGGCAAATGGCTACCCATGATTCTGGACGGACGCAAAACCATCGAAATCAGAGGCCAACCAGCAAAGCCTGGAATCGTCTGGTTCGGACAAGACCAGATGCTCCATGGCAGTGCCTACATCACACACTCCGAAAAACTCTCGATCACAAGCTTCCGAAAGATGCAGCACAAACACGGCATGAGCACACACATTCTGCCATACCCTCGAACACACGCACTGCACATGACAGACATCAAGCGCTTACGGAGCCCACAGCCATATTTTCACCCTCGAGGTGCCATCGGCTGGGTCAGGTACCGCAACAATCACCAAGCCGGCGCGCCGGGAACACAACCAAACAACTCCAGCACCGAGCGACGCGGCAAACCCTTCAAACAACTAACAAGCAAGCCATCTCACACCCGCGCGAAGAACCCCAGCCCGTCACGAAGCCAAAACGATTCAGAACAACAGGAAAAAACTATGCCAGACACGAAACACAAGAAGCGCAGGTCGCGCGGCAAGGCCGCCTCCAACTAAAGCCACCGCACGCGCATTGCCACATCGCCACCCCCACACACCAAGAAAGAGACGCCACCATTCCCGACAAGAAAACTATGCGAACCTTCAACACAGCCAGGTTACTCCCAACAGTCCTGCCTATCGCGCTCGCAACACTGCTCGAGCACCTAGACGCTTGGGCTTTGCAGAACCTGCTGCAAACGAGCAAATGCGGTCATGGTTCCCCGCAGCATCAGAGCCTCCGGCGCGATGCCCGAGACCTGCGCCAAACCCTGACGATCCTAACCCACAACATTCGCCTCCCCGGTCTACCACTCGCCTACGATGTAACAATCACACCGCAGCACCTGCTGGACCAGCAATCAAGACACCACTCCCTCCACGCCTCCATCACCAAGGCCGAAACTAGCGCAACCACCAAACCGACCAATCACGGCCGACACATGCAGGACCTCCTACGGCAAGGTAAAGCCAGCACGTTCACTGAGCTCGTGAAAAACATGAACCCCAGCTGGCAACAGAACAAACGCTTTCAAGCATTCTTGCACTTCCTCAACGACTCCCACACCACGATCTCCTACACGCCTCAGTTCAGCCAGAGCGAATACCATTTCCGAGACATCATCAGCCCGGCCCGGCTACAGGTGGTTTTCCGATACCGGAACCATTCGGGCTTCCTCCACGCGGAGTGAAAGAAACATTGCGCCCTCACCAAACGCAACATACAAAAACCGGACAGCAAAACGACGGCAAAAAAAGAAATGAGAGGAGGAGCACCCTCCAAAAAACAAAGACCGAAAAAGAAGCCTGCGCGCATCCATTCGCCGTGGAATCACACGCACCCTACCCAACCAACCACAATCATGCTGATCAAACACCGCCAGTGCAGTCTTCAAAGCTGTTTATTTCCCGAAAAGACAACGTGCCAGCCAACCGACAGCAAGACACCAAGTCGAGACGAAAGACTAAGCAGCCCAATCAGTCAAGCACGCACAAAAACCGAATCCCCAAACACAAAACAAATACTAACCAGGAGCAAAGAAAAACACACCACCGCCCGCCCGCCCCTACGCAATCGCCAAAAACAAAGAAAGAACCACACACACACACACACNNCCCCTATTACGAGCCCAACCCGTGCACGAGCCCGCAAAACACACACCCTCGAACAGCACAAATGACTGCTGCTCCCTCCACCCACGACGCAACCGACAGCGACCGCGAGGCAAGCAAGAAAAAAAAAAAAAAAAAAAACAAACA